TTTTGCGGTACGCGGGCCTCTCACTGTTGTGGCCTCTCCCGTTGCTGAGCACAAGCTCCGGACGTGCAGGGTCAGCAGCCACGGCTCACGGGCCCAGCCGCTCCGTGGCACGTGGGATCTTCCCGGACCGGGGCACGAACCCATGTCCCCTGCATCGGCAGGCGGACTCTCAACTATTGCGCCACCAGGGAAGCCCTAACTAACAGTATATTAAAAGTAATTTTTACTTTAGGTGTTATAATGATAATTTGCTTTGAAGAAGTAATTTTAGTTTTCTCCCTAATAGTTCCAAATTATACTTATTGAAAAGAGGTTGGGATAAAATATACAGCTTAACATTTTAAAAATGGTAAATCTCAAGCATAAATGTATAGTGAATAATATAATGACCTACCCATCACCTACATTAAACAGTAATCAAAATTTTAATATATTTGCTTCATCTTTCATCTATATATTTTTTTCAGCCTGTCTGTCATCTTTGAAATAAGGAAGGAAAACCCCAGACACTATCATTTCACCCCATATACTTCATTATGCATTTCTAAAAATTATAGACATTTTCTTATGTAACCACAAAGCTATGATCAAATTTAATATTTCTTTGGTATTATCTAATTGTCACTTCATAACCAAATTTCTCTGACAGACTAAAGTATGTTTTAAGTTTCTATTTCACAGCTGGAGTCCACATTTCTGATCCCCGCCACTGTCTCAAAGACAAGCTTTTGGTTGTAAACTCATTGAATGAGAGAAGTACAAATAGCTCTACACAAATCCAGCCCCACCATTTGAGAAATAATTTAAAGTACAAGCTCTGCTGACTAGGTCTTTATCTTTATATACAAAAATGGTACAATTTACTAAAATCTCAAACTATTCATTTGATCTGAGAAGCCTCAAACAAACTACTTGGATTTGAATCCTGGCTCCATCACTTACTAGTCATATAACCTTAAGCAGGTTACTTAATCCCTCTGTGCCTCACTTTCCTTTCCTGTGAAACAAGAGTATTAGATTTATAATATACATTTGCATATTAAAAGCCCTGGGAAGACCTCTTGTAAAGAAACCTGTGTAACTTTGTTTAACCTATCATGTTATTTGACTACAGAATTTTGTGGGGAAGGAAAGTCTATTGTGGATGATTAGGACTGGAACATATAATAATTGACCCCATAGTTTATTCTAATGCACATGTTGAGCTGTCTAGAACAGTACTGTCCTATAGAAATATAATACAAAACACATATATAATTTAAATTTTTCAGGTAGTCACATTAAAAAAATAGTAGAAACAGGTGAAATTAACTTTTTTACCTTTTTATTTTGAAATAATTATGGACTCACAGGAACTTACAAAAATAGTACAAAGTCCCATGAACCCTTCACCCAGATTCCCCCAATGATGACAATTTACGTAACTATAATATAATTTCAAAGCCAGGAAACTGACATTGGTACAGTACTGTTAACTAGACTATAAACCTTATTCAGTTTTCATCAGTTTTTATATCCACTCCTTTGTATATATGTATATATAGTTCTATGCAATTTGGTCTCATTTATTGATGTGTGTAACCACCAGTACAATAGAGATACAGAGCTCTTCCATCACCAAGAAACATCCTTATATATGCCTTTACAGTCACATCCATTCCTTTCTTCACACCCTGGAACCACTAATCTTTTCTCCATCTCTATAGTTTTGTCATTTGTGAATGTAATATAAATGGAATCATATAGTATATGTAACCTTTTGAGATTGGCTTTTTTCACAAAGTATGATGCCCTTGAAATCCATCCAAGTTGTTGCATGTATCAGTTCACTCCTTTTTTATGCTAAATCATATTCCATTGTGTAGATATACCAAAGTTTAACTATTCAGCTGTCAAAGAACATTTCAGTTGTTCCAACCTTTTTCAATTATAAATAAAGCTGCTGTGAAGGTTTGTGTACAGATTTTTGTGTGAACATAAATTTTAATTTCTCTGGGATCAATGCCCAAGAGTGCAATGGCTAGGTCTCAGGATAAACACATGTGTTTAGTTTTATAAGAAACTGAAATTATTCCAGAGTGGCTGCACCATTTTACATTCCTACCAGCAATGTATGAGAAATCCAGTTTCTCCATATCCTTATCTGCATTTAGTGTTATCACCATATTTTATCTTAGCTGTTCTAATAGGTGTGTGGTTATACCTTATTATATTTTCAATTTGCAGTGAAATTAATTTTAAGAATATATTTTGTTTAACCCAAATATATCCAGAATATTATCATTTTAACATGTAATCAAGATAAAATAATTAATAATACATTGTACATTCTTGTTGTACTAAGACTTTGAAATCCTATGTGTTTTACACTTAAAGTGCGTCTCATTTCCAACTGACCACATTTTAACTGCTAGTGATTAATGGCTACTGTATTATACAGTGCAGTTCCAGAACAGCAAGAAGTAGGTGACGAACTTGTAGATCAAGTTACTGAAAAGTATATATTTTTTCTTTACAGGAAATATAACTTTGTTTTTCTCTTTCACAGGAAAGGAATAACAAAACATTCTCTTAATCATCATCCTCTTCCAGAGCAGCTGGACGCGATTTCCTCTACCAATGACAGCCATGAAAACGACATAAGTTCCCAAAGGTAATAACAAAAAGTGTACTTGTTTGCTTATTGCACTTGATAATGGCAAAAGTTTTGTTTTTTTGCCTTAGGATTGGTATCAAGCCTTGTACTAATGAAAGAAAACAAGAATTTTTATCACATTTTTTCAATACCATTCAACTTTCATTCTGGAACAGCTAATGGAAACACACTTATTTTTATAACCTTTGAAAAGCAGTATTATGAAGTAGTTAAAAACAGAGACTCAGGAGGAATCCAAACAGATCTGATTTTTAATCCTAGTTTTGTCATCTATTAGCTGAATAATATTGGGCAAGTTACTTATCTGGTAATAGTATCTCTTAAAGGGTGTTCTGAATATAAATGAGATAAAATACAGTAAATGCTGAGTAAATATTAGCTGAAGTTATTATTTTAAGAAATAGAGGATACGGTAACTTCACAGAGGGTTCTGAGAAGCAATGTGGTATCATAGAAAAATTACAGTCATAAAACCTAGTTTCAACACCTAGTACTAAATCTCAGATTCTTTGTCTTAAAAAAGGGGTTGAGTTCTGCATCACCAGGTTGTTGTGAGGATAAAATGGGGTTAATATCTGTGAAAGTGCTTGGTAAACTAAAAGTGCCATACAAGTTCACATACTATTCTGTGTGAATTCCTAGACGTTTCTGAAATGTCTTTAGTTCTCAAGGGTAGATATTATAAATGGAATGTTAAAGTATTCATTGTAAACTAAGACTAGAATTATTTAGAATGGCTGACATCAATTCTGTAGGAATTAGATCCGACTTTACTATGATGCTTCAAGTCCTTCATGTATTTTTGCCTCTGTGGATATATTTCTACACATGCTTATCACCTCATAGATTGCTGAGTAGTTAATGCTGCAGAAACTTGAGGAAATATAAGAATTTTTCTGTTTTCTCTTCTCCTTCCAAATTGTGCATTTAGTGAGTCTGACATCACACAAGAATCACCTTTTACATCAGCTGACACTGGGAATTCAAGGTCTGCTTTTCCAAGTTATACAGGCACAGGGATCTCTACTGAAGGCAGCTCGGACTTCTCCTGGGGATATGGTGTGAGTTTTATGTTATTGGTCTGATGGATTGCTTGGGAGACTGTTCTGGGAGTTAGCATTTGTCAGTTTGGTCAGTATATTTCATGCCTTCCCTCTCCTACACTGTTTATTTTTAATTTAATTTAATTTTATTTGGCCGTGTCACGCAGCGTGCGGGACCTTAATTCCCCAACCAGGGATCGAACCTGCGCCCCCTGCAGTGGAAGCACGAAGTCTTAACCACTGGACCACCAGGGAAGTCCCTCCTACATTGTTTATTTACTCTTTAAAATAGCTGTAAAGAAGCATCAGCTTCACCCTCTTTCAATATTGTTCTGTTTTATGGATGTAGTAGTTGATCCTTAGAGATGCTTAGTGTTTGGCTTAAACACTTGCACATTGGTATGGATCTGGCCTCTGGATCTACTCCTTCTGCTGTGCTCAGTCAACTAGTGTGTCTCTCCACTACTAATATTACTTTGTTGTTTAAAATGTTTTTGAAAGTTTATTACTAAGCCATATAGACTGGGAAAATGTTTATGATATATTACTAAATGAAAAAAAGCACGTTAAAAATAAATGTATAGGGCTTCCCTGGTGGCGCACTGGTTGAGAGTCCGCCTGCCGAGGCATGGGACACGGATTCATGCCCCGGTCTGGGAAGATCCCACATGCCCTGGAGTGGCTAGGCCCATGAGCCATGGCCACTGAGCCTGTGCGTCCGGAGCCTGTGCTCCGCAACAGGAGAGAACACAACAGTGAGAGGCCCGCATACTGCAAAAAAAAATAATAAAATAAATAAATAAATAAATGTATAGTGTAGTTCTAATTTTATTTTACAGATATTTTTGCTTATATATACTAGAAAAAAAGACTAAAGATATTTACCTAAAATGTTACTCATTTATTAATTGGGTGTTGAGATAATGAGATTTATTTATTTATTCACTCATGACTATCTGCCATTATAAATATTATTTTTAAAAGACCAACAACCTTAAAAGAAAATTTAAAAAACAAATTTTATGCATGTTTCTTACCTTGATGCAATAGGTATTTTTATTTCTGTATCCTCTTTCAATCTATATTTAATGTGGCCTAGCTATAGTCATGGTGTACATACAATACTATGCTGTTTTTTTCACTTACTGTTATTTTGTAAGCACTCTTCCACAATACTGACTTTATACAATATTATTGTTAGCAACCTGCTTTCTTTACAAAAAGCCTGCTAATTGTTACAACCTTTTTGTCACCATGAGTTATTTTCTAGTCATTTTAAGTTGGATGTATATATAGTTGCCTTACATAGTTGTATGATATATGTGCATCCTGATCTGCTTCTTCATTCACCATTATTTCATATAGACATTTTCTTTTACTACTTCCATACTTGTCAATTTGAATAGTTATATATAGTTATATAGCATTTCCTTGTTTTAATATATTATATCATAATTTAGTAATTTCATTATTATCTGATACTTGGGTTTTCAGTTTTTATTTATTCAACAAATATTTATTGAGCGCATTTCTTGTCAGACACTGTATTTGGGAATATGGGGTGAATGAGACTTACATGATTCAGTAGTCTAATGAGGGAGATTGACAAAAGCAAATGAACAAAATAACTACAAAAGGTCATAAGTACTCTAAGGAAGACAACAGGGAGCTGAAATAGAACACTATAAGGGGGATTCACTTTAGGTAGAGTATCATGTAGGGTAGATCTGAGACATGAAGACTGAAGAGTTAACTACGTGAAGAATGAGGAAAAGAGCTTCCAGCAGGTAACCAGCAGCATCTGCAAAGGCCCTAAGGAGGAAGAGATCTTCATGTTTCCAAGGGAAAGTGTTTGGTATGTTCTTGGAACTGGAAAAAGGTCAGGGTGGCTGAAGGATGGTGTACCAGGGGAGAAAGCGCTAATGAGACTGGAGAGGTAGGCAGCACTAGATCTTGTAAGGCATTGTAGGCCATGGTAAAGAATTTAAATTTTATCCTTACGTAATGATTTAATTAATTTGATGACTTATTTTGAGGTTTTAGTGTACTGACTATATATTTCCATCAGTTATCTCTATATTTTAATTAGTATCTCTTTATAAGTTATGAATGTCATACAAATGTTTCCCATTTCCCTGCTTTCCTTTTGGTCTTTATTGTGTAGCAGATTTTTTTTAAAAAATTCAAATATAACCATTTTACTTTTGACCTTAATTTATTTGCTAGTCAGGATTTTATCTTTAGAAAGATGGAATATTATAATATTCTTCTTCATAGCTTTTTAATAGAATTTTGCATGTTTAACTTTTTAACTCACCAGACTTTTAAAATAGTATATGGTGTGAGGATAATTAAGTTCTTTTACTGTTGAACCTACTTTGTTTGAACAATTTTTCTACATTTGACTTAATGTGTTAGGGTTTTCATGATATTTTAAAAATCTTGGAAAATCTGTTAGTGTTCATTAAAAAACATGTATTATTTAGTATTTGTGTTCTCTTTGCTCTTTCAGATAAATTTTATTTTCCCTTGTATGAAATTTTATAAAATATTCATGAGGGATTTAATTGATATTGCATTATAACATTATATTAAATTAGGTGCAGGGAGAACTAAAATTTATTGAAATTTATTAAAATTTATTGTACTAATCGCTTTATAAACACATTTCAGTCATTTTGTACCTTAACCGAACTTAGTATTCTACCTAGAAATATAGTTTACTTAGATCTTCCTTTAATTTAATCTGCTTTATCATTTCATTATTTATTTTGAGTAAATCTCTTGTTGTAAGATACAACTGATATTAAAATTGAACTTAGTATTTAATTATACATTTTCCTTGCTTTTGAACTTAGGTGTTTTTGAGTTATCACTGGTATATAGGAATACAGTTTTCCCCCCAATTTAACTAATGGCCTACTACTTTGCCAAATATATTTATAATCATGCTGGCGTTTATATTCTTAGGTTTATTTCTTTTAAAATATTGTTTTAAAATTAACAAAGTTGGGGACTTCCCTGGTGGTCCAGTGGGTGAGACTTCGCCTTCCAATGTAGGGGGTGTGGGTTCGATCCCTGGTCGGGGAACTAGGATCCCACATGCCTTGGGGCCAAAAAACCAAAACATAAAACAGAGGCAGTGTTGTAAGAAGTTCAATAAAGACTTTAAAAATGGTCCACATTAAAAAAAAAAAAGTCTTAAAAAAATTAACAAAGTTATTATAATGATGTGAAGGAAGACTTTCCTTTTTTATTCTAATTATATCTATTATTTAAAATTTTATAGTCAACAATCATAAAAATATCTAACCCAGTTCTATTCTATTTTAGTTTTATGTACTTCGGATTGATTTTTTTTTAAATAATCAAATAAGGTTTATTCTAGGAATACAAAGATGGGTCAATATCTGTAAATGTATTAATATGTTTAACATCAGTGAATTAAAGGAAAAAATATGATCAAGCCAATAGATGTTAAAAAGATACTTGATAAAATTCAAAAACCATTCCTATAAAAATTCTCAATTAGATAGGGAAGGAAACCCTTGAAACTTGATAATGACTATTTGCCAGTTGAATATCAGTTTAAATGGCAAAACACTAAAGCTGTTTCAGTTACAGCAAGGAACCAGACAGGGATTCTCTATTTACAAATTTAATTGATTCCTTTGCTACCTTTGTACATTTTAATTTTTACATAAAGCTTGTCATTATACACTCTATCCAGGGCTATTTGTTTTTCCACTTAACACTATCAATATATTTTGAAGAATATATTACATTATAATATAGTATATTATGTATATTATACTATATTCAAATATATTATATATATTATAGAAAAACTAACTGCTTTGTTCTTTGATGGCTGCATAGCCATTGCTGTTACAAAAAAGTGCTGCATTTATGACCCTGTAACATATATTATTCTACATATATATGAACATATCTGAGCATAAGTTTCTAGAGGTGGAATGCTGCTCAAAAGATACATGCTTTTGTAATTTTGAAAGTTGTTACCAAATTGACCTCTGTAAAAGTTATTACAATCTGCAATCTCACCAGGAACATATGAAAGAGCCTATTTTCTTACACTCTTGACCAAAACAGTGAATTATCAAACTTTTTCATCTTTGCCAGAGTTTTAGTTTTTTTTATTTAAAGGTACCTGATGCAGTGGGGTTGATTAGAAAAGAAAAGTTGCACACCTTACAGAAAACTGCATAACTTACATATTGGGTGTGCATGTGTGTGTGTGTGTGTGTGTATGTGTGTATGTGTGTACACAGATCAAGATATAGACAATCAGCATCCCACAAGGCTCCTAGATGCCCTCTCCCAACCCCAAAGGTAACCACTATTCTGACCTCTATCACCAGGTTTACTTGTTCTTGCCCTTCATATAAATGGAATCCTACAGTATGTATTTTTTATATCTGGCTTCTTTTGCCTAGAACTGTTTGAAAAGTTCATACATGATGCACATATTTGTAGTCTGTGAATTGCCTGTTAGTATTTTCATACTCATTTATTATTTTATTTATCATTTTCATATTAATTAGTAGGAGTTCTTTGTCTTTATTTATTTATTTTTATTTTTTTTGCGCTACGCGGGCCTCTCACTGTTGTGGCCTCTCCCGTTGCGGAGCACAGGCTCCAGACGCGCAGGCTTAGCGGCCATGGCTCATGGGCCTAACCGCTCCGCGGCATGTGGGATCTTCCCAGACCGGGGCACGAACCCGTGTCCCCCTGCATTGGCAGGCGGACTCTCAACCACTGCGCCACCAGGGAAGCCCTGTATTTATTTTTAAATTTATTTTAACTTATTTTTTATTTATTTATATTTTGGCTGTGTTGGGTCTTCCTTGTTGTGCACGGGCTTTCTCTAGTTGTAGTGAGTGGGGGCTACTCGTTGTTGTGGTGCGCGGGCTTCTCATTGCAGTGGCTTCTCTTGTTGTGGAGCACGGTCTCTAGGCGTGCAGCCTTCAGTAATTGTGGCATGAGGGCTCAGTAGT